ACTTCTATTCATAAGTCATGGGCCAAACATAGTTAGGTGGCTATACCTACTTGCCGGGAACACCGTGGAATATGATCTTTATTCTGACAACCACATATCTTGCTAATATTTAAGGGTTCTATTACTAAAAAATGGAAAGCATGAATACTGAAATAATAATTGCAGTCTCGGGGCTCCTGGCTCAGTCCGTTAAACATCCAACTCTTGATTTTGGCTCAGGTATGATCTCACAGTTGGTAGGTTCAAGCCCTGAGTCAGATTCTGCACTGGCAGTGGGGAGTCTGATTGGGATTCTCCCTCCAATCTCTCTGATCCACCTCCGTACTCTCTTTCTCTTTCTTTCTTTCTCTCTCTCTCTCTAAAATAAGTAAATAAACTTTCAAAAGAGTAAAAAATTATAGTCTCAGGTACAAAATTTGTGGACAAAATTATATAATAAGTTCAATTAATTTTTAGGAAATATTTGAATATCTGGACTCTGCTATAAATAAAAATTCAGAATTCAAAGCAGTCTTAAAGTACTTACATGTGTCACCAAAATAATTATTTTAAAATCAATATGAGGTCTACTGATCTATTAAAATATCTTTTTTTTTTTCCTATTCACAAGGAATTTCTTCTGAATTAGCTCAGTAATGTGCAGGCTTTTAATGACAAGAAATCTTTAGAATGTCAGTGAACTAAAGTTGAATACAGATTAAAGAAACATGAAACACGGATTTATGGTTCATGGTTTATCTTTCTCTGCAGTTACACAAGGAAAAGCCAGTCATCCGTTAATAGTGCTCAGCAGAGTTCTGATGGCTTCTTTTCTCTCTCAAGTAAGGCTCAATTCTTTAAAAGACACACATTTGACAGTACTGAGAACTAATGGTCCAGTCCTATAATTATATCAAAATCAATTTAAGAAAGACAGTTGCTGGTTGTTTTCTTTTTTTGATATTTTTTAAAAAGACAAGACGACTATTACCAAAAACCTTTAGTCTAATTGAAATTCATCCTTAGCCATTATAAAAAATATATATTTTCATTGGCCACCTGAGGGTTACATAAAAGCTAATTGGTAGAAATTATATTACTATGCTTCCCCGTACAGTCTGAAAGAATATTTCAGGTGGTGAATATTTCCCAAAGGAAATCCACTTGGCTACCAAGGAGGACTGTTGTTTTCTGTTATTGATAACTTCCTTGCAGACTGGTTTGTTGTGGATTAGCTTCCTTTGGATTGCCACCTAGCTTCAGAGTATGCATAAATTAGGAATGTGTGCTAGTTAATGCAAAAGTTATAATTCTAAGGCAAAATACAGAAATGGAGAATTTTTACCCCATATGTGGGTCTCAGCTTATGTATCTCTCCAGGTTTGCTCAGCCATCACTTTCTGTTCTTTGCTTGTGATTAAACTCCAAGAAGATTGCCTGGAACTATCTTCATTCTAATGAGTTTAATCTTAGAGGAAGTCCCTTTGAGCTCAGTTCCACCTTGTGATGAGACCCATGTACTCAATCTGATGAGTAGCCAGACACTCAAGCCATGGCTATTGGTTTGCCATGTTGTTCACTGACATGAATGGACAGCATTTCACCACACACCTTTAGTCACACCTATTGCCTTCTACCATGAGTTCTCCTATTGCCTTTGAGATCAGCTTCCCCAAAAGTTTCCCAATAATACTGAATGGGAAAGCCTAGAACTCTGAGTATAAAGAACTCTATGGGTGAACTTGGCCAGTGGGAAGTAGGAAACCAACTCTGTACCCAGTGGTTGTCTCAAATGTCCATCACACTAAACAACTGGCTGTGCTTGTTTCTGGCTATATAGCCAGCTCAGAAATGCACCCCCTCATATAGGGTGTTACTCCATCCTCAGCTCATTTTATCTAACTTCAGTTGTCCTGAAATTTCACTTACCCCCAAAATGTTAGCATTTAAGGTTTCACTTCAAGCTTCATTTTTTAAGAGAATCTGAGCTGAGACATTCCTAACTTAAGTATTCTTAATGGAACCAAGAACGATTGTATTTTTCTCTCTTCCATTTTCATACATTCCTTCTTTTTTTCTATATTTCTTCCTTCTTTCATCTTTAATTGTTATCTCTTATTTAAATTTTATAATTACAATGTTTAAGCTATACTAACAGTTTAGAAAGAGCCAAAACAAGTTTAAAATATGTGGAGGAAATACAAGTTATGCTGCTTTTTCCTTTAAAAGGAGCTGATATCTTTTTATTATTATTATTTTAGAGAGAGAGACAGCATAAGCAGTTGGAGAGGGGTGGAGGGAGACAGAGAGAAAGAGAGAATCTCAGGCAGGTTCCATGCTCAGAGCAGAACCTGATGCAGGGCTCAATCCCATGACTCTGGGATCATGACCTGTGCTGAAATCAACACATTGGATGCTCAATCAACGGGGCCACCCAAGTGCCCCTAAATGGAGCTAATATCTTAACCAACCTCCAGGTAGATATATATTATTGCTCTCAATAGAGAAAGCAGTAGAATATAATTTAGAAGAGTCAACTGTCAAGCTATGAGGAATTGCTCATAAGAAAACTTTGCTTATGTGGTCTTCACAGACATGAGAATTTATAGTGAAAATAGTTAACACATTACTCTGTATTGAGATTTTTGGTGTTTATTTTTGACCATAGGCCTTTAGCTATAAATGTATAAATGTAATTTTGGGGACTGCAAAGAACTTCTACACCTAATCCTAACTTTAATTACTATATCAGGCAATTAAATCTCAGAGATAGTTACTTAACAGGACTTTGAGATCATGACCTGAGCTGAAACCAAGAGTTGGACCCTCAACCAAATGAGCCACCCAACACCCCCTTAATATGACTCTTGAAGACCTATATCTCCCCTAGGACAGCTTCAGCTAAGACCTAGGTCTTCTGAATCAAAGGCCAAAGCTCTTAAGTCACTTGTAGTCATTTTGATGTATGCTTCGACTTTAATGTTCTCTCCATTCTGAATTTTTGAAACTAGAACCAGAAGAAGGAAATTAAAAAAAATAAAACAATAAAATATCTAAGGAACTGAATGGTAGACTTTGAAAATCTTGTTAAAGAGATAGCTTTTATTTATTTCTTCCTTTAGAGAAAGAGCCCATAAACTCTGTCTCTCAACTGTCTCCTGCAAGAGAGAAAAGCTGTGTATTCTAAATTATTTAAATACATGTCTTTCCAGAAGGCATGGCTTTAAGCCATAGAAAATAAAGCTATTGGCAGTACTTGAGATTTTCTGACCTAGGCTCCTCTGGAATATTTGGGAAAGTGTTCTTTTAAACCCCTACTTATACTCCAAGAGAGAGATTTTTTTTTTTTTAGGAAATCTGCCATGTGTAGATTATGAATCTTACTAATTAGGGAAACAACAAATTTCTGTTTGCTTCTGTGTGTTCTCTAGCTATGAGAAGCATGTCAACATTAACCATGTCTTTTATCACTTATTTTTTTTTTTTATAAATCTAAATTTTTTTTCTACTTGAAAAGTAAAACATAGTAATAATATGAAAAATGACAATATGATTAAGAGAAAAGATTGAAATAAAACTAGTATATTATAACCCAGAACTGACCAATATTCAAATTTTGGAATATATCTTTCCAGCCATTTTTCAATCCACATATATTATTCATTTTTACAAAGATCTTACTATAAATACAATTTTATCCCGATTCTTTGATTTAAAATATTTAAGGCCCATATCTATAAATATGAATGCTTTTCCATAAATTTATGCTGTGTTTAAAATATTCCATTATAAAGACTACTTCAAAACAGAAAAGAAAAATTATATATAAATAATTTTTAAAATTAGGAACTACACATTAGACTTTGAAAATTCTTGTTTAACTAGTAGATTTAATTTATTTCCATTGTCTAGGGGGAAAAAACCACACTTCTAATTGATTTTCTTTCTTAAGTAAAAGTAACTTGCTACCCATTACAAAGTTTCAGATGATTTTTAAAAATTTTTGAAGCTTATTTTTAAGAGAGTGAGCAGAAGATAGGCAGAGAGAGAGAGAGAGAGAGAGAGAGAGAGAATCTGAAGCAGGCTCCAGGCTCTGAGCTGTCAGCACAGAGAACGATGTGGGCCTCGAACTCACAGACTGAGATCATGACCCGAGCTAAAGTCAGACACTTCACTGACTGAGCCACCAGGGTGCCCCAGATGATATCTTTACCTTAAAAATTTGTCTAAACTCAGGTTTAGTTATTTATGTTTATATAGGTATCCCAACAGTTCGCTTCTTTTTAAGGCATAGTTTGAGAGGTTTTTACAAATGTATGTCATGTAAATACTACCACATCAATACCAAGAGCATTTCTATCACCCCAAAATGTTCCCCTGTCCCACTTTAAAGTGAATCCTAGCTCCAGGCAACAATTGATAGGTTGTCTATATAGTTTTGCATTTTCAGATGCCATAGAAATAGAATGATACTGTATGTACTGTTTGGTTTCTTGTGTTTCTTAGCATAATGAAATGGACATCATCCCTGTTGTTGCATATGTCAGTACTTTATTCCTTTATGTTACATAGTATTGCTCTGGGTGGACATCCCATGCCTTACTTATCCATTTAACATTTGATGAAGAGTCTCTTTACAGCTTTTTGTGATTATTAATAATGTTGCTTTTTTTTGTACTTGAAAAAATTTTATGACAAAAAGATGTATGTTGAAAACTCCAACTATACCTGTGAAATCGTTTATTTCTTTTTTCAGTTTTTGCTTTGTATATTTTGAAGCCCTGTTATATGATGCATTCATGTTAAAATTAATTTGTCTTCTTGATGATTTGACTCTTTTATGACTATGGAATATCCCTCTTTATCACTGGGATATTTTTTGTTCTAAAGTCAGCATCATCTCTTAACAATATAGCATTCTATATTTTGCGTGGTATGTATATATATCTTTTCCTATCATTTTACTTGTAACCTGTCCATTTCTTCATATTTTATTTTCTTATTTTCAAGTTGTTATTTTTTAAAAATATGAAGGCTTCATTAATTTGCATATCGTCCTTGCATGGGGGCCATGCTAATCTCTCTGTTGTTTCAATTTGAAAATATGTGCTGTTGAAGTAAGCACTATTACTTCATATTTTAAATTAAGTTCTTCTAGGCAATAAATAGTAGGGTCTTGGTTTTTTAGCATATCTGACAATCAATGCTTTTAAATGGAAATTTTTAAATTTGTTCTCTTTTCACTATTTCCTCATCTCATGCCTTTTTGATTATTTGAGTTAATTTCTAATGCATTTTATCTCTATTAGTTTATTATTTATTATTTTAGAGCATACCTTTGTGTTAACAAAATATATTTAACTTACTACCTCAAAATAATATTATCTTCTGTATAGAATGAAAAGCTCAAAACAGTATATTTTTATTTTTTACCTCCAGTTGTGCTATTATTTTTATAAATTTAACTTCTACATGTGCTGTAAAATCACAATGCTTTGTTAATATTTTCCTTTAAGTAATAGATTGTATTTTAAAGAGATTAAAAATAAAATTTCTTTACATTTACACTTATTTTTATATCTTCAGTGCTTTTTATTTTTTGTATACATTCAAATTATCAATGATCAAGTATCATTTCCTTTTGCCTGAAGTACTGCCTTTAATATTTTCTTGAGATCAGATGTGCTGGAAATAGGCTTTTTTGCTACTATTTAATCTTGATTTTTGAAGCAATTTGCAGTGGTTATTGATTTCTGTTTTGAGAATATTTTTTTCTCTAATATTTTAAATAAATCTCACCACTATTTTCTGGCTTGCATTGTTTATGAAAGCTCCTATATTTCTTTTTTCCTCTCTAATATTTTTTCTTTTTTCTGGATTTATTCAACTTTTTTAATCCTTGGTTTTTAGCACTTTGATTATAATATATCAAGTGTTTCTTTCTTTGTGTCTTTCCTTGGATTTCTCCAAGATTTAAGATCATGGTTCATTGCTGCTCTTAATTGAGAATAAAACTGGTCATTATCTTTTCAAATATTTATTATGTCCAGTTTTCACACTTTTCAGACTCCATTACCATGTCCATATTTCTGAACATTTAATAATGTCCTATACTTCTTGAATGCTCTGTTTTGCTTTTTTTCCACTCATTTTTCTCTTTGTCTTAAGGTTTGAACAGTTTTGATGATCCTCTTTACAAGCTCATTTATTTTTCTCCTTCTGCTGTGACCAGTCTTCTCAAAAGTCCATTGAAGAAATTCATTATCTCTGATAACAACACAACTTAACTGTTTCAGTAATACTCTTAAAAATATTGGTTCATAAGACAAAATCAGTGAAATTATTAACAACTGTAAACATGAGGAAAATATAGTTTTCATTATGTCTAAGTTTGTCCCAGTGATTTTGGTAGATTTATTTTTTTTGAGTCAAAAATTTCTTTGCATTGGTTTCATATTTTCTAGCTTCTTTATTTTTATTTAGGTTTTTATTTCAATTCTAGGTAGTTAACACAGTGAAATATTATTTCAGCTGTACAATATTCCTTCTATACACTTCCATACAATACCCAGTGCTCATCACTAATGCACTCCTGAATCCTCATCACTTATTTAACCCATCCCTCTGCCCACCTCCCCTCTGGTAACGATTTATTTGTTCTCTATAGTTAAGAGTAAGATATGCTGTGTGTTGAGAAAGCAACTCTTCTAAACTCCCCCTTTTTTAAAAGTTTATTTATTCTGAGAGAGAAAAAGAGAGAGCAGGGGAGGGGCAGAGAGAGAGGGAGAGAGAGAGTCTCAACCAGGCTCTGCACTGATAGTGCATAGCCCGATGTAGGGCTTGAACTCACAAACCTGTGAGATCATGACCTGAGCCGAGATCAAGAGTTGATGCTTACTGGACTGAGACATCTAGGCACCCCTAAACTCCTTTTTTAGGTGTTACAACCAAAAAAAACTTTAAAATTTTTATTTGATTTTAAGTAAAATATTATAAATTCTAAAATAAGAACAGGTATATGTGACATTTGAAAATTCATAGAAGTGTTTTGGAAAAAATAAAAATATATTGCAAAGCAAGATTAACGAAGTGTACTTACACATGTGCATAAGGAAAATATTTTGGATTTCAAGACAACTATGTTTTAGACAATAAAGATGTTATAGACATTATAACAGGTATGACCACAGATATCCTAGAAAGATCATAACAGAAGAACAAACTCAGGTAATCTTTAAGTATGTACATATTTAATTATTTCCAAACTTATCAAGTGGAAATTATGGAAAACATAATACACAGCACATATTTTTTTTTTAATCATCAGTGATGATGTCATCACATTACATATTCTCTAGATAAATTCCAGTGGTAGGGGACAAAATTGAGGGTGAAAAAGAGTAAATCTTGCCTCAGTATTATTATATATATATATATATATATTTTTTTTTTTTTTTATATTTCACAGTCCTCCCCAAATAGTCTTAGTGATCCACAGGGCCATACTTTGATAACCAGTACCTTAGTGTTCCGTTTCTGCTTTTTTACAATTTTATAATTAAAAGAAATCAATTATTGGTTACCGTTTCTTCTATTAAGTTTTCTCAGATAAGATAACAGGCAGGAATCTGCCTGATTTATACCAGTTCAGTGAATGCCTCCAGGAGAACACCGTGAAGGGTCAGAACCCTGTTTACTATGTTCCCTCCGAATAAACTTATTGGCTTTGGCTCTAGTCTAGATTCTCTATGTATCAGGTTTGAATGGATTTAGATCATACAGAGATCCCCTGCCCTTGTTTGTCAAAAATTTAATCACCAAATTTTCCTTCACCAGCTTTTCTCATAGACCCCATGAGCAAGTAATTCAAAATGGCAGAATGTATTCAGAGCAAAATGAGATTTAGTGTCAAGTGGCAGACTCAGTATCGCAACTCCATAACTTCATTCAATTTCTTGTATTTCTATAAGCCTCAGTTTATTAATTTGTGATATGGAGTTGGCATTACTACCACTCGATCATACATATTTTGAGTTAAATGTGCTAATATACTTAAAACTATTTCATAGTGTTAAGAGCTTTGTAACATTACAATGGATAGTTGTGATTTTTCCCATTTGTATTACTAATTGCATAGGTTAATTAATAATGTAAAAGAAACAAAAACATTCATTAAAAGTTAATTACACTTTTTTGTTCAAACATGTCATATAAAAAAACCCAAACAATTGATTGGTTTAAATTGAATTTTCACACCTTTTTGATGTCACATAAACACAACCTCACAGTGAAGAGGTATTCATTAATTCAATAAACGCTTCTAATATACCTTTTCAAAGCATAACACATTTTCTTAATTTGACCACTGTACATATGTCAGGGAGAACCTCTCCAGAGATATGGGATAAAGTAAAATATTTGACTTTTAGCTATGTGAGCTTTTTACATACTAAGATATTTTTCATGGAAAAAAGTATTTTTTATAAAAAGTATGTATATAACAAATGTAAATAAATTATATCCCCCACAGAAACAACAGTTGCTAATTTAAAATTTTTATTACATGGCCAACATTGTGCTAAGATTTGAATACACATTATCTTATTTATTCATCAGATAACTTAAATATATGAAAACCATTATATTTCTTATTTTACAGTTAATGTTATTCAGTCTGAGAACAGTTTTGCTTCCTCAAAACCAGACAAATAGACAGTAGAATCTGTCAGAATTTTCATAGTATTTCAGAACCTATATAACTCTGGAAACTATACTCTTAGCTATGTATTGCTTCCAATTAATAATAGTAGAAATAATAATAATAATAACTTCTTTTTAATGTAAACTCTACACTCAACATTGGGCTTGAACACATGATCCCGTGATCAAGAGTCACATGTCTATCAACTGAGCCAGTCAGGAATCCCCAATAAAAATTAATAATAATAGTAATAATAATATAACATTATCTCTTTTTGGAAAGAATGTACTACCTTTGAAATTATTCATATCACCCCCTCATCTCTCAACTTTTATAAATAGCATTTGATAGTATAAAAATATAAATTTATACATATTTATATAAAAAATTTAAAGCTTTGGTTAATTTAGTGAAAAATTACTAAAATCATTTGTATTGCACTAACTTTACAACCTGGTTTTACTTCCAAAGATGGAAGTTTTATCAACACAAAAACAATATTTCAGAAAGAGCTTTTTATTTTGCTGGAAAACATTTGTACTAATAGCTTAAAAAGGCAGTGATCCGATCTATATCTTTAAATATTATAGACCTAAAATTTGAGTATACTGAATGGTTTCAAGATTTTTTTTTCCTGCTAGGAAAAAGAAGATTCAACACTCCTTTATCTCAATTGGAAAATGTATTTCATTTTTCTCTATTAAGAAAGAACTGGAATTGAAGTAAAAACTTCAAAAACTGAAGTGCATTTAGAGCCTCCCTCCCACTCCTGCCACTTAAAAAAAAGGAGTTGTTCTTTATTTTTTTGGAGAATTTGTGCCAATCACCAATTTGGCAGAAACAAAGAGGGGAATTTTTTTAGCTCATGTAACTGAGTAGTCCAGAGGTAGTGCTGCCTTTGAGCACAGCTTGATGAACTGGCATAAATGACATCCTTAAGCACCTGTTTTCTCCTCATAGCTTGGCTTAACTTGACTCTTCGTGCTTTGGCTCTGCTCTCTAACAGGCTTAGAAATACTAGCTGTAGGAGGTCAGGGCTTTTATATTCTTTCAACTTCACTTCTCTTAGTAAGAGGCAATGTTCTTTCCAATGCAGTTACCAGGGAAATTTTAGTGCATCCCTTTGGTTTAAATTGGATACCAACCCTTGACGCAAATGTACGGCAGGAGAATATGAGTCCTCCATTGTCTGAGGGCCAAGTCATTCACATGATTCTCCAGAATTTGATCCCGAAGGTAATGATGCCTCTGTAGGTGATTAAGGTAGTACTCCTGGGAGAAACCAGAAAGGAGGACAGAGATGAGAAAGAAACCAAGCAAGCGTGTAATTTGAGACAGAGTCCAGAAAAAGAGTGTTTCAGATACTGTCCAGAAAGGGATGTCTTTAACCTTTCCTGCATTTTACTCCTAGTCTTTTCAATTAC